TCAGGGAAGGAGAATTCTGAATCACTTGGATTCGGGGATGGCAAACTGGCAACCCATTGCAATTCCTCCCTGTTCACTTTTAGTCCACTGGAATTTGCACTGTGTATCTACGAGTGTGTATATAAAGCTCAAAAGTAAACTCATTCCTGTATTTAGGATAAAAAAAAAAAATGAAGCATGTCATATTCCAGAAACTGGCTGGGCCTGGAACTTGGCACAGAAGATATAGTTAGCAGTTTGTAAGCTTTGAAGTGAAAGTCTCCCCTCCTCTTTTACTAGCAATGAAAAAATCTTTAAAGGAAAGGCACAAGAGTGGGTGAGGAGTATTTTTCCATGGTGAGCTACGTAATGTCTTTGGTGTAATTCCCTCTTTAGACAGCTAGCTGCCTTACGCTGGCACTACCAGGCTATGTCTTACACTAACCCCAACCCAGAGAATGCAATCAGCCTTGGATATTTTCAGTGGACCATTTCCTCCTATCACATCCAGCATAAGCTAAAATGTTGTAATGGAATAACAGATATTTAAAGCAGTGGTTCTCAAAATTTAAAGAATTACCTAGAAATATATTAAAATTCAGGCGCTGGGGCTTCATGCCCAGAGAGTCTATCTAATTCTACATATGTGTGTGTGGGGGGGGGCAAAGGTATGAGTGTGTGTATGAGAGAGAGAGAGAGAGAGAATATGAATTGCATGCACTTTTTTTGGGGGGGAGGCGGAGATTTCATTTTAACAAGCAGCCCAGGTGATTACAATATAGGTGATCAATTGACCTTACTGAGAAACATTTTATCTTGAACTTTCAAAATGTTAAAATTCTTTGGCCCCTGAAAATTGGGAGTTTAAATCATAGCAATATATTCCTATATATAAAGGTTCAAAAAGCATTCATCATCCCAAGAAAAAGAAGAGCATGAAAGTTTTCCAACTTCCCACTTCCCAGGGGATATCTCTTGATATCTTCTTTGCAATTCTTTAAGGTAATTAGGGTGGGTGATCTTATCCTGACTTTGTTGATTAGGAAATTAGCACAGGTTAAGCGATTGCCCAAGGCTGTGTGGCTCTGGCTGGGGCATAAGCCAGGCCTCCTGACCTTTGAGAGCAGAGGTCAAGTCAGATGGACCCCCTCAGACACTCCTGAAGTCAGAAACCCTGGGAAATGCATGAAAAAAAAAAAATACACACACATACACACACACACACATTTCCTGATCTGGTTTTCCATCCAGTCCTCCTCATCTGTCCATTTCAAAGCTATACACCAACAACCACATTATTGTTTTCCATTTTGAGACATTTTATACCCTTAAGGAGAAACCCATGGGCATGGTTATGCTCCTGGGGGAAAGAAACCCACATGGTCCCCTATTGAAAAGCATCATCTTCTCTTTTCCATAGCTGACGACCTTTATATTAACCAAGATGGACATAACCTGAGTTTTTAACTTACTGTAGCTCTAAGCCTGGGCTTAGAAAAACGGAAAACAGGGTGTCCCTTAAAAATCCCATAAATGCTGCACATTTTTAGGAGAGGAAATGTGCACATGACTTCTTTGATTTCAAAAACTTCCACTGGGACTTCCTGGCTCTTTGTCTGGTGGGGCTTTACATACCATATCATGAGGTGCCTTGGGGCAGATAGAAACTCTTTGAGAGTGGAGAACAAATATTTAATTCTACAGCCCTTCCTTTCCTTTGCCCTCAAGGGAAAACCTGCACTCTCCCCCATGTGAGAAAAACTCCAAATATAATGGACTAGACAAAGAAATATTTAATCACATTAGTTTAGGAAGCTCTGGCAGAACACAATGCATCTTTTCAAGGTTGAAGATGTTATGAATAGACAGAATGTTTTTGTGTCAAGTCTCTCTGGGGCTCTTGGGTACAAAATGCCATTTGCCTTTAGATACTTTTTAATTCTAGAGCTTCAAAGAACCACTTTCATTTGCTAAAACCCCATTGCATAGTCAAATAAAAAATGGCTTGTAAAAAATCACTAAAATCATTATTAACATAGTAATTTTTTAAAAGCAGTCTTTGCCCAAGAATACCCTTCACTCTAAGCATTCACCAACCTAGAACCCAAGGAATGGATATGGCTTGGCCATATAGTTCTCCCAAAGCAGCTAATTCCTTTTATGAACCAGAGGCCAGTTGCTTGCTTGCTTTATAACACCATTCAATTCCTTCTAGAATGGCATGAAGCCTTCCTGAGACTACTTTTAGCCACTCTCCACTCAAGCAATTCTTCAAAAAAGTTATAAAATGTTTAACAGTTATTGCATTTTTCAAAGAATCAGTAAGCTGTTGAATCAAAATAGAGTGGCAGACAGAAGGTAAAAATACTAAATTCAGTCAGGACATGGAAGTCATATATAGTTTTCTGACACCATTTTTCCACTCACCCTGGAGGAAGACTACAGATGATAAACAGCTCTTTAAATGATGGAAACTAATTATCCTCTCGTCCAATGTTAATGGAAACCTTAGTCTCATCCAGGTATGTCTGTCTCAAAACAGCATCATTTGCTTCCCGTTGAAGCCAACCAATCAACCCACAAAAAGGTAAAAATTTCATGGTTTAAATGGGGGGAAAAGGGTTTTTAAACAAAAGTGAAATATAATAAGATCACTCCTTTGCTCTTGGATGATAGAACAGCTCTCTAAATTGTTACTGGAAAGTCCACAAAGACATTTAATGATGGAAATACATTCTGAGAAATGCATTGGTAGTCAATTTCCCCATTACTGGAACATCATGGAAGGCACTTACACAAACTAAGACGGCTATAATATCACGAGGTCATATAATCATGTGGAATCACCCATGAAAGTACAGGGTCTGTTTTTGGTGGAAATGTCATTATGTAGCACATGAGTGTATGTAAATGTCATCCTTAAGCTGAGCCTTGGAACCACCCAGACTGGCAAGTTCATGTGACTTGTTCAGTAAGAATGTGGACACCTTACATGGCTGCATGATAATCCTGGCCCCTGGGCAGTTTGCTCGTCAACTGATTGATGGAAGCCAGTCAACAACCAGCCTAATTCATGCACATAGGAATTGGAGACATGAAGCAATTGTACACAGAGGGGTTTGCTAGAACAACACTGTAGAAGACACAGAGGGGCTTTCAAAGGAATGGCTTTGCCCGCCAGTCACACACAACTGATCTTATCCTGTCAGCTGTCACTCTTCTCTAATTTAGAAGCCTGTCTGTAACAATCCACTACAGTCCCATCTTTTGTTCTGTAAAATTCTTCAAATGAAATCAGAGTAGACACGCCCTTACCCAGGAGGAGAGAACACAAAGCAGATATTCTAAGTTTCCATGACTTACCAAATGATGAGTACTGGATTCTTTTCTGGGTTTGTTTTGTGGGGGACAAATCACAATGCCTTGCAATAGAGTTGATGTCTTTAAGTGAACAAACTATCTTTGTTGGGAAATTCTCATTCTGCTTCACAATAGTCTTGTGGGTTCATTCAATCAATGCCCTGCAATTTCCTCTACCGCTTGGAATTGGAAAAGGAGTGAAAGAGTACTGCATTTGTCCTCTTCCTTACAGAAAGCAAAAATGCATCTGAGGATGTGCAGCCTGCTCCTGCAGGACAGGGCCAGCTTGCTTGCCTCCCACACTCATGGAGATACCAGAAACCATGGGTTATTAGTTGATTTACCAAGTAAAAAGGCAAGCAATGCCACCTGGGCTATCTTAGACATCAATAGAACATGTATCTAGACTTTGGTAGACCCAGGCATTTTTGTTCATATCTACTGTAAGGCAGAAGTAGCATCCAAATCTTCCTCTAAAGTAGGTATTCTGGAGGCTAAAACAAAATGGAAGCCCCTGACCTACAGTTCTTGATGTTGTCCCACAGCAGAATGAACATGCTCCTGCAAACCCAGGTGTGGATAGACCGATGCAAATATCTGGTTGACTCATTGCACATCCCTTGCCAACAGTTGTCCAGTGCTTGAGATTGAGCCAGAAACAGTGACCATCTCATTACTGACTGATGCTCATAGTGCCTGGATCTGGGGAGAGGCACAGGCAGAGAGCTTGGCAGTGGTCTTCTGGCTATTCATGAAGGAAACTCAGAGTCCTGGAGCCCAGAGAATGGACCTGAAGAGGGGGCTGGCTCTGCACACTATGGCTTTTAACTCCACAAAGAGGCACACACCCAACCATGGAGGCCTGCTCCAGAAGTCTCCTAAAGCTCAGGACTTGGATAGTCCCTTGTTGAGGTCTAAGGGTAGCACTAGCTGAAGACAACCCCAAGGAGGAGATGGTGGAGTGGGTCTGGGAGACCTGGGCTTGCATAGCTTTGCCTGTAAATTAAGGAATCTTGTATCAAAGAATTGCTAAACTCTTTCCTCTTCACACCCAGTAAGTACTGTGGGATTCTGTGATCCAGTTGTCCCTGTTGGCAGGTCTATCTCAGATACTGGACAAAGATAATACAAAAGAAAATTCAAAACCATTCAAACAAATATAAGTTGTCTATCTCAGCCTCCCTAGTTCAAAGAGATAAATGAGAAATTCTGGCTCATTAAAAGTCTGGTTAGGAGAGAGATTTATCTTTCACAGGTGACCAATTACCAATTAAGCAGCTAATCCTGTTGTTAACATTAAACTTATGATAATAATCATTGGATTATGAACAACTCAAAACAGCTCTGGTTTTTCCAAGGGCTACAAACCATAGACATAAAGTACTATGTAATGAACACATAATTTATTATGGAAATGTGAACGGGGGGGGCAAGTCAGATGACTTAAAATTTCATGACTTATAATTTCAAATGTTGGTTCTGTGGACTGGACATCCTCTCCCAGGTGCCTTGATTTGGTGCTTCTGATAAGTTTTGATGGGAGCAGGTAACAACGGTCTTCCTGAAGTTCACTGTCACAAGACACCGCTTGCTCACACATACATATATAAAAACACTGCTGACGTAAGATAGGAGGCACACTCATAGCTCATAGTACTGACCTGCCCTCTCATGTCTGGAGCAATGGGGATGGTGGGCCAGATGGTTGAGTAGACGACAAAAAACAACAGCCACATCACCATGCTTCCCCACACAGCCAGGTGACTGAACTGCAAAGGAGAAAGATGCTCAGATGGTCCCTCTGTTGGCCAGGTGATCCACCCCAACCCCACCTGCTGCAGAATTCCCCCCTCCAAGCCACCTTTCCTGATGGAAAGACTGTGAGGACTCTATTCCCTTGTCTCAGAATTTTTAACAATGAATTTAATTAACTAGTGGCTATCCTGAAGATCAAAGTGTTTTTCTGTCACAGCTGACCATCCTCTGAGACATCCCCTAGTTACAGCAGGCTTTGCTCAGTTCATTTCAAGTATCTGCTGCACCTTGGGATGGTATTAATCTAGTGAGAGAATGGTGGAACAGACAAATGAACAAGAGGTTTTTATTTATCATTAGGAGACTTTGATCTATTCATTTGCAAAAGAGATTTTTTTGACACCTGAAATGATATTACCTCTTTTAAATTTTTAAGTTTTAAATTGACATTAATAATTAAACATGTTTATGAGTATATTGTAATATTATAGTACATGTATATAATGTGTGTGATCAGATGAGGGTAAATGGCATAACCATCACCTCAAATACTTATCATTATTTTGTGTTGGGAACAGTCAAAATCTTTTGTTTCGAAATATATATCTTTGTTTTTTAACCACAATTACTGCTTGCTGTAGAACTTAGAAATCACTCCTCCTATTTAACTGCATTCCTGTCCTGTTGACCATTCTCTTTCCTTCCTCTCCTTCCCTCTCCACTCTTCCCAGGCTCTGGTAACTACTATTCTGCTCTTTGTTTCTACAAGATCAACTGGCTATTACAGTTTAATACCTCCTTAAGCATCTACTGAGTTGGTTATTTTTGTCTCCTTTGTACTCTTATGGTCCTTGACCTCTTCTTCTATACCTCACAATTCAATCCATCAGCAAGGTTTTGTTTTGTTTTTTTTTTCCCCCTTAAAACAAGTACTTCCAGAATCTACCCACGACTTACTACCTTCTGCTCCAACATTCCAGGCTGTCACCATCCCCTCCCTGGAATAGGTGTTAACAGATTCCCTGACTCCACACTGATCTCCCACCCACCCCATCCCACCCCATCCCACCTTCTTAGCAAAGCATCAGGTGAGTCTATTTAAGCTGCAGCTAGCCATGACCCTCCAGGGGTGACAAACATGAAAAACTGGTTATAACCCCCAAACCTTAGAAATAACCAAAGTACCTAAAATAGGGAACTGATTAAATAAAGATGGGATATCTATAGAAATGTCATTTTCTTTAATCATGAACAATGATTTTTGTAGGAGTATATTTTAAGGAATAAAAATGTTCCTAATATATTTTTAAGAAAGATCACAAAATTCTATGTTCTACAATACATCCTATTTCAAAACACACAGACAGAAGAATGTATGGAGGGTCACAGAATAAAATGTTACCCATGATTATCTCTTGGTAGTAAAATTATATGAAAATATGTAAAGTTTCATTTTTCTCTCTTTTGTGTTTTCTGTGCATGTATGTGTTTCCAGTGAGCCAGCATATACATTTGAAATAAGGTGACTAATGATAGCTTTGAGCTATATTAGCAAATGAGGCACCAGGAAACACTGGATTGAAAATTTGCCCTGAAAAAGATCAAACCACAATTTTTACATGCAAAACTTAATATAGCTAGATATTAATTATCCCAATGCTTAAAAGGAAATCATAGTATGAAGATTATCTATACTTCAGGGGGAGGAGCAATTCCAGAGAGGACTCACTTTAGTCCAAGCTGTAGTCTCCAAACCAGCTTTCAGACAAACCGTAACCACAACGTACTGTGAAAAGAAAGAGGAGTTAGGAAAAATGAAGGACACTACTTTTTACTTTCTAGGAGAAATCCCAGATCTCCCCTCCAGAGTCAGTTCCTCTAACCCACCATATTTTGAAGTTACCATCTTGGTAGCTAAGTTGCTAGGGGATGTCTTTAGGAAATGAGCAGACAGTTTTATTTCAAGGAAAGTGCTCATCTCAGTGTCTTCCCACAAATAACTGCTCTGTCCTTTCTTAGAGGATTTGGGAGAAACCATCTTCCTTAGTACTCTTTGCTTTTAAAGATGTAAAAGGTCTTTTGAAGAATGGGGAATCCTGCTCATCACTTCTCCAGACACTTCGACTCAGTATACTCTCTGCTAAACAATAATGTAAGCATTTCTCAACCCCTCTGACCTTAAGGAATCTATAATATGTAAACATTTGAAATATGACAATAAGAAAAGCCTTACCTAAGGGATTAGATAAGTATACCCCACATATGGGCCCTTTAGGAGTGGCTCAATAAAAAGAGATGAACTTACCGTGTAAACAATATTTCCAACAAATAAATAGTCTGTGGCATGACCATTGCTGAATGGAGTATCTGAAAAATAAAGAAGCTGCTATTAACTTCTGAGATCTGAGATGGCAATCTATTTTATCCACAATATAAAAATGGAATTTTTAGAAACGTCTCTCAAAATGTGAGGGCATTTCAAAATTGAATCTTCTGTGATTCTACTGCTCTTTCTTTTTGTGACTCCATTTTTTATATTGTATTCTCTCCAAATGAAGCAAACAAAATCACGTTTCCAACAAAACAAACAAGTCTTGATCTGCATGAAAATTTACATTTGTATGAAGATTACAATCTCTCTTTGCCCAGCTTATTATTTTTTTAAAGGACAGAAATAAGAACATGTTGATCTATCTATCATGGCTATTTTTCCAGCGGTGGAAATTTTTCAAGTTTTCATTTACTATTTATTGTTAAGTTTTGCTAAATTGGAATTGTGCATCAATGAAAGAAGATAGCCACACAGATACAAAATTAATCTGTAATGACTGAACTCTATTCTGGGGGAATATCCATTGCTCCTGTCCTCATTTGCAGCTACACGAACTGGAGTCTAGCATTTGTGAGGATTACAAGTGAGAGATGTTTCCAGTTTATACATTCTTCCCTTCCTTTCCCTTCCCTCCCTTTCTGATGGCTATTACCAGGAATATAACAACTGCTAAGTCAGAACTCTCTTAGAATTGTCTAATTCATGTCAGCTAAGATAGCCCTGTCCTGAGAAGTATTGGTTCTTATGCTGAGAAGTAAAAGCCTATTTTAAGATCAGAAATGGTTCCCTTGGATATCGCTACAAACCTCCTTTTATTCTCCCTTATACTCAAATTCAGATTTGTGGTCAGGTATACGGTCAGGGTTTTGTGTTCAAATTTCCAATCCAGTAGCTGCTATCCATATGTTATTTGGGCTTGCTGATTTAATTATCTGCTTGATGAAAAATCCTACCCTTGTTAAGGAATCGAGATCTGTTTCCTTTCTTAAAACAGTGTAATCATCAAGTTGAGTCATGGTGGCATCTGGAAATGGTGGGTCCCTGAATCCAGCTCTAGGGCACATGCTTTCTCCTGATGTGGACAGGGGAAGGTTAACCACTAGCGTGGCATTGGGGTTGCATGAAGTACAGTCCTAAATGGAGAAGTTCCTATGGGGAAGGAAAAGAATTGCACTGGGAGAGCAGAGAGAGATGCAGCCACAAAAGGAACCACCTCAAAGCTTAGGAGAGACATGGTAATGCAAGAAGGAAAGCTTACATAAGACTTTGTCAGAACAGGAGGAGCAGAAATAATTGAAAAAGTGAAGGAGAGCCTAAACTAATCTCAGGAAGACAACAAACAATGTATAAGTTGAACATCATTAATCTGAAGTGCTCCAAAATCCGGATACAAAATTTTAGATTTTGTATTGGGGATGCTCAACTAAGTAAATTCTGAGCAAAGATCCCCAAATCTGAAAAAATCTCAAATCTGAAACCCTTCTGGTCCAAAGCATTTCAGATAAGGGACACTCAACCCGTATCTGCAAATAGTTATTCAAAACTGTGGGGGTTTGCTTTTCAGTAACTGGCTCTAAGATTATTTTAATAATAAGTGCAAAACATTTTGTTTGTTTGTTGAGTCAGGTTCTCACTATGTTGCCCAGGCTGGTCTCAACCTCCTGGATCCAGGGATTGTCCTACCTCAGCCTCTGGTGTGTTGTGATTATAGGAGCTTGCCACCACACAGGGCTAAAGTGCAATAAATACTTTTAAAGGTATACCTCAATAACGAAACACTTGAGGTTAGGCAGAGGATCATTTCTTTGATTCTAACAGAGATTATAGTTTTGAAAATAGTAACCTTATTATTTTATGTTCTCAACAAATTTTTACTTTAAGTCTAATTGGGGAGAGAAGGTCCTTGTCTTCATGCAGCTCACATTATAATGAAGGAGACAGGGCATAAATAGATAAACAAATAGATACACAATACACTATTGTGTGTAATAAGTGCTATGAGGAAACATAAGGCAGAGTAATAGAACACAGAGTGATGGGGGAGGCTATTTTAGATTGGGAGGTAACATCCAAGCAGATTAAAATGCTGTAAGGAAGTTAAATGACCATCAAGAATGGCATGAAGGAGGGAGTTAATGACTTTTGAGAGAAGGGAGTTCCAGGCAGACAGAAGAGAAATTGCTAAGAGTCTGAACACAGACAGCCCTTGATGAGCTCAGAGACCAAAATGGAGACCAGTCTGGCAAGAGACACTGAAAGAAGGAAAAAGAGTATAATCAGGCTGAGGAACAGATCAACACAGGCATGGTGAAGTGTCTGGGCTTCTGTGTAAATGGTGACAGGTCACCATTCCCAGCTCAGAGGAGGATTCTGAGCTGGGAATACAGAGGTGTGAGCTAGGCTCTTAAGGGAATGATGCAGTTTTTATAGAACAATAGAGCATGGTGACTGAGAATGGGATAATAAACACAGTGCCAGCCGGCAACAATGGTAGCCATCCATCCAGGAGAGGACGTTAGAGCAGTCCTATATGGTAGCTACTAGCTGCATTTAGTCATTTACCTTTAAACTCATTCAAATAAAATACAATTAAAAAATCAGTTCCTCCCAAGGGCCAGAGAGGAGGGGGAGAATGAGGAGTTATTGCTTAATGAGGACAGTTACAGTTTGATGATGTTGCACAACATGCTCAATGTAATTAATGCCTCTGAATTGTACACTTGAAACAGCAAAGTCCAGTATATATATTTTAAAAATCATGGTAGAAAATAAACAAAAAATGGATCATAGAACCAAACTACACAACTCTTAGGATAAAACAAAGCAGAAAATCTGGCCTCAGATTTGGCTGTGATTTCTAAGACGTGACATCAAAAGCACTGTGACAAAAGTAAACAGTAGATGAAACAGACTTGATCAAAATTAGAAACTTCCATGCTTCAAATGGTACCAGCAAGAAAGTGGAAAAACTGGAAGCATGGAAGAAAATATTTACAAATTATTCATCTGATAAGGAACTTATATCCAAGATATAGAAAGAACTCTTATAACTCAACAATAAAGAGACAAAAGAAAAATCAGCTCAATTTAAAAATGGGCAAAGGACCTGAATAGACATTTTTGCAAAGAAGGTCTACAAATGGCTAGTAAATGCATGAAGAGAAGCTCAACATCATTAGGCATCAAGGAAACAGAATTAAAACAACAATGAAATATCACTTAACACCTACCCAGATGTCTGTCACATAAAAGACAGTAACAAGGGTTGGTGAGGGGGTGGAGAAATTAAATCATCCATATGCTGCAGGTGGGAAATCAAAATTGTGCAGACACTTTGGAAAACTGAAGGGCAATTCCTCAAACGATGATGCATATTACAATTTTGCTTAGAATATGTGTTTTTTTACCTTCAAAAATGAAGACTTCAGACAGGTCCAAGATGCATCTACCTCTACCTCTTTTAAAATACGAAACTTAATGCACATGCATCTTTTAACGTGGAATTTAATGGCAATAAAAATCAATTGGCCCCATCAAAAAATGATGCATATTTAATACATGATCCAGTAATTCTAGTCCTAGGTACATAGCCAGGAAGTAAGAAAACATATAAATGAAACACACAAAAACTTGAACACGAGTGTCCATAGCAGTATTATTCATAATTACTCATCACAGCCCAAAATAATGAAAAGCATTATTCATTATTCACAAGGGCCTATTCATAACCCAAATGTCCATCAACCAGTGGATGAGCAAATAAATGTCCATCAATTGGTGAATGGTGTATCAGTACAATAGAATGTTATTAAACAATAAAAAATAATGAAGTACTGACACATGCTACAACATGGAGAAGTCTTGAAAAACTTATGCTATGTGAAAGAAGCCAAATACAAAAGGCCATATGTTATATGATTCTATTCATATAGAATTCCAGAACAGGCATACCTTCAGAGACAGAATGCAAACCAGTGAGCTGGAGGTGTTTGGGAAAATACAGAATGACAGCTTTTGGAGGCAATGAACGTGTGGCTAATTAAGATGATGGTTGCACAATGCTGAATATATTAAAAACCAGATGGGGCTGGGGTTGTGGCTCAGCAGTAGAGTGCTCGGCTAGCATGTGCAACGCTCTGGGTTCGATCCTCAACACCACATATAAAAAAGGTATTGTACGCAACTACAACTAAAAAAATAAATAAATATTAAAAAAACAAAAAACAAGAAAATTATACTCTTTGCATAGATATAAATTATATCTTAATAAAATATCATAAAAAATTGGGTTCCTCAGTCATACTAGCCACATTTCAAACACTCAATAGCCATGTGAAGTTCAGATGGTACAGGTATAAAACATTTAATTTTCACTGAGGTTGGAAGTTCTACTGGACAATGCAGGGTTGGAGTGGCTATGTCCAAGGTGACGAGGAATGATAGAAATTGTTATACTGTAAAGTTATAAATGATAGTATTTGCTCATGATTTGGATGTAGGGTAGAAAAGAATGTGAGGAATCAAGGGTGATATCCAGATTTTTGGCATGAGCCCTGAGGTCAACAGTGGAATCATCAACTTGAGATGGAGAACACTGGTTCTAGTTGTAGTAACACAGCAGCAATGGTTAAAAAAAAAAAAAAAAAGCATGTAAGGACTTGGTACCAAGTGTTTAAAATTTCCAGTTTATGACAGGAAGAATAGCTAACAATGAAGCATGGCTGTATTGCAAGAGAAGAAAAAGGAAATTTAGGAAAATGAGGTGGAGAGAAGAAACTGGGGTTAGTGGAAACAATCCCAGTAATGAGAGTTAGAAGACTCTGTTCAGCCCTTCTCTCTTATCCCAGCTCTGTTGTTATTTAGTGTATTTTTTTCCTTTTTTAAATTTTAGATTCTAAGTCCCAAGATTCTCAACTATAAAACAGAGAGGCAAAAAATGATGATGACTGAACTATTTCCAAGGTTCCTTTCAAATAGGAAATTCCAAGATGTTCTTAGCTGCCAAATCAGTCCCATGCATTTAGTGGCAGGAACA